GTTTCCCGATGTAAAGTGGCAGCTACAATGAAGAAAAAGACAAAAAAAGAGGCTGGACCACCCACTGTCAGGGGAGAGAGTGCCCTGGGCCCCCGGGGTGCTGGGAGGGGAAACCATCTGGGCCCTAGGGTCTCTGCAGGTGGGACGTTTGCTGCCTGCAAATGTGGGGAAGCCTTCCCGCAATCCTCCACAAATCCAAGAGAGCCACCTTAAGAGCTCTCCCTCCATAGGACCAAACGGGATCCGCCAGGCGTTTCATATACCATATTCTATAGCCAAGGAAGCCTTAACAAAGAGCCGTACGCTCTCACGTTTCGCTTCAGGCTTCTCCCTGCTGCAGCTGGAGCCGAGTTTTTAAAAATCTTTGTGTCATTATTTCGTTCCTCTTTTGATTCAGCCATCGAGGGACAAGGAGATGCCAAACGAAAAGAATGGGCATTTAAACAGAACTAGATTGAAGAGGCAGTGTGTGCGCTGAACAACAAGTCTTTTTACATTTCATATGATCTTATACATGGGCTCCATTCAGTATATTTCCCCTCTGTTTCATCTGAATGTACAGAATTAGCCATTCACATCCTCTGGAATTACGGCTCTTTAACATTTCCATTCTGAGCTGCCTCCATATTTTGGGGGTTGGGAGTGTTATTAGCTCAGCTGGGGAAGCACAGGCTGAGGTCAGAGTTGGTCTTGCAGTCTGGAAATGAGCTTTTTCTTTTTTTGGAAAGTGCAAGATTTGGTGCATGACGACTCTGGTCAGAAAGATATATGACCATACACAATAACGTGTATGTGCTAGAACATGCATGGACCTGGTTTCAGTGGAGGGGGTCTTTGTCACATTAATCCCAGTGAAGTTATTTCTTTAGACAGAAAAACGAGCCTCAGTTTTCGGATGCCGGGTGAGCTCTGCAATCGCCTGAGGTCGCACCAGTGGCTGTGTCCTTGTGCGTGGCTGCTGCCTCATTGTCTTTTTGAAAGGCAAATATCAAAACCAAATATTTACTGTGCTATTTACTAACGCTCCCTAGATACTGATACAAATTTAGAAGAGTTGGCCCAGAAAACTCATTCAAACTGAGTTAGAGTCACAAGAGGAAAACCATGAGGGATGTGTGCGTGCAGCTAATTCTGCTGAAAAGCTCAGGACCTGGCACTGCTGCCCCAAGTGAGGATGGGACTGCGCAGTGGCATTGGTGCATCCTGCAGCCTATGCTGCCTTCCCTGAGAGCATTCCTGTGGTGTTACTTACACACATCATCAGAAGGAAAGAGGCTGGCTTGGGAGTGTTTCTCTTGTGAATCTGCCTTTTTTCTAGCTTTACTTGTCTGCTGGCACACCTAGGCCAGTGTCCTCTTTGGGGGTGTTCCCCCTTTCCCCAGCATTTACATACAGGAGGGTTTATTGCCAGACAGCTGGGATGTCACAGTGGGAACAATCTGCAGAGGAGAGAGCGGAACCTGCCGTGTCTCCGCTGGCTGCTTTGCGATGCCTGCGTGCTGCAGAGAGGTGCTTCCCCTGGGAGACCTGCAGGCTGTGGACTGAGTAGTCTGCAGGAACCAACATCCCAGAGGGAAGTTTCTGCCTCTTCTGCCACTCTTTCTTTGCTATATATTTAACTTTTTCTATCTATGGCTCCTGCATCATCATTTCCTCAGGCCACTTCATCTGGTTGTTGTGGATATGAGGACAAGGTGGCAGACAACAAACAAGGGCCCCCAACAGGGCAAATAAACCCAGCAAGGTCAAGTGTGACTCAGAAGGCAGCAAGGCTCCCATTTTCCCCCTCACCTGGCTTTCTGTAAGACAAGGTTTAGCTGCTCCTCAAGGGCAGACCTGGGGGCTGCAACATCCTGCTCTGCAGGGGATTGTTGCCAGCTGACTTCACTTTAATACACAGCATGTGCTAGAGAGGGTTCACCTGAGCCAGGCACAAATCCCAAGTCCCCTGTCGACCACCCCTGAACCAGTCAGACTCAACCAGGTTGCAGGCTTTCCCGGAGATCCCTTCAGTCACAGCCCCCTGCCTTAATTTAACCTGGTTATTTATACCTTTTCCTGTGTGTGTTTAATTATAGCAAAACCTGGCAATACTGCTGTGCTTAACGGTCTGTTGGCATTTCCATTATGAGCCCAGACTGGAAGGGATTATATAGCCTGAGTGTTTGAACTGAGCCTCAGACAGAGACTTGGCTTAGACTTGCAACCCAAATACAGAGATTTCCAATTGGCTAATGGCAGTTTTGAAAAGGGAACATTTTTCACATGCTTAGGCCCTTCCATTTGCTTAAGCTGCCTTCCTCTGTTTTAAACTCAGCAAGCAAGGAGTCGTAATTCAGCCTGTTACAGCAGTGACTCATGTTCATTGCACAGTGATGCCATAACCAGCCAAGGCTAGGCCTTCTGCCTTAAGAGGAATTACACACAGAGAGATGACTGGGGAAAATCAGCTCTTTCACTCACCAGAGTCACACCATCTGTGCATCCTAACTGCAGCTGCCATGGCCAGCATGAGTTGTCTGACCACGTCTCAGGCTCTGCAGTGGAGACACCTAATGTCACCAACATGTCCTGGACTTCATGAGCAGCAAGTAGCACTTACAAGGCATGTAAGTTGTTTCATCCTCACGTAGATGAATCAAACAGGGTCAAGTCCTAAAAATGCTTTTTCTGTGGGGAGTTGTGGTAACAGGCTCAGGCAGCAGTGTCCACAGCAGGGATAGTCTGCTGGGACCAGTCACACTTGCTGGGAATCTAGAGGAGCTCCCTCCTCTAGAGGGATGTAGTCCATCCATCTATCTCCACAAGTTTTTTCTCTAACAGCATGGAAGACAGAACAAGAGCAGGCAAATAGCTATGTCTTCTTTTAATGCATAGGAGTCTTTGACACAGAAGAACCAAGTGATTTACCCATGGTCTCCCAGTAGGTCAAAGAGAGCCTTCCTGGGGAGCAAACCTACATCTGCACTGCACAGTGATGCCTCTGCAGGGCCTCTCCTCCTTCTGAATGTATTAAGTAAGCAAGTTGATACAACAAGCAAGAGAATATCAGGTTTTAGGAAGAGTTATGAGTCAAGTTGGCCAGACACCAGCAAAGAAAACTAGCTAGTAAATGAAAAGAAGCTTGTAGCAAAGACCATGTGTTGCAAACAGTCTTTCTCTCCAGGAAGCTTGCTTTTGACCTTGGTGGAAGGTCTTCTGTGCCTGTGTCCAGTGGAAAGATGGTCCATCCATTGCTGTCTCCCATGTCTTGCCTGTTGGAATCTGAAAGGAAAGAGGTGAATACCAAACCCTGTACTCAGCTGGAGGAGAAGCATCAAGGCCCAAACCTGCTGCATTTGCAGCACATACCTAGAGGGATGCTATGCAAGGTGCCCTGGCTGCTGCTCCCCTGGATCTGGGGCTGCACTTCGCTCCCCATGTCAGGGGTACCAGAGCTGGGTGAGCTCACTCAGGCTGTGCTAGGCAGCTGCACCCCCTGACCTGGGAAGGGCTGGTGGGGACTGGACAGAGGAGACAGCTCTGTTCCCATCAGGGCTGTCACCATGGGAACTTTAGGGACCGAGGCCATTTACGGCTGGTTGTAAACCCTGACTCTGACAGCAAAGCCTTTCTTCGCCTTTTCCTCTGGACTTGGCCCTGACTGTCTCAGAGAAAGCAGGCTCAAATTCTACCTCCGGCTGGCTCTGCACACACATCCCCTGGCACTGAGCGCTGGCCCGCTGCGTGGGAGCTGCTCGAGCTCAGCTAAGTGTCCTGGCTGTCTCTCCCAGAGAAAGTGGAGCAGACGCCTGAGGTTGCTGAGCATCATAGGTCTGACAGTTCTGCAGACACCTGCGGATATGCAGGGAAAGAGAAATGGTGGGTTAGCAGTGCTGTTGCCCCTTGGAGGAGCTCTCAGATCAATTTGTGAGGCAAATGATCTCTGGTGAAGTCTAGCTCTTCTCAGCAGATTCCCAGCTTTGAGGCTGGAAAGGCTCATCTTTCAGCTTGGCCAAAACTGAAAGTGCTGTGGTGAAAAGACGGAGAAACAGCTGGCAGGAGCCAGCTTGTGGAGGAGAAGTTGAGGGCAGAAGGACTTCAGCAGCCAAATCTCATCTGGTCCTTCTTCTGATGCTAAATTCTCCTGTGAAAGCCACTTGGGTTGTGCAGTTCCTGAGGACTACTCCGGGCCTGCCCAGCCTTCCTCTAGAGAGAGAGGTTAAAACACAGACCTGGTTATCGATGCTGCTCTGTGTCCTGGGAGCTAGAGTCCAGGGAGCTCATGACTGTCTTGTCCTTTTGCAGGCTCAGCACCCTAGCTGGACCACTGATCCCCCTGTGTGCCACAATGCCCTGCTAACAAAATGCAGTGGTGTGACCATGGTGCTGAAAGGGAGTCTCCATGGCAGGGTAGTGTCTGGCAGGGCAGGACTTGGGGACCAGGAGGCAGCCCTTGTTCTTCACAGTGAAGGCCTGGGGGAGGGAGGGCATTTTGCCAGACTGCCCAGCTTTCAGGAGTTCAGGTTTGTGTTAAAAAGTAAAAGCTTCCTGCAGAATGCAGGGAATTACAGCAGAATAAAAAATTAAATGCTCAACACTTAGTTATAATTTGGACTCAATGATCCTTGTGTGTCCCTTCTGACTCAAGATATTCTCATACAAAGAGAAAGCTCCAAGAGTTACTCTCCAGCCACTCCATACAGAAAGCCTTTCAGGGGAGAGCTGCCCACCGATGCTCCCTTTCCCAATGGCCCTCACATGCACAAATTTTCCTCAAAATTTTCCCCACAGCTTGAGGTCCAGCTCTGCCCATCAGGCCTGCCAAAACCTGTGACCCCATCTCCTGGCAAAGTGACGCACTTGGAATGACATGGACCACTGCTTTCTCCATTCTTCTGCTTCATGTGCCCTGATTTCCGTAGCGAATGAGTCACTGGCTGGCACCTTGGCTGGAAGATGGATGAGCCACCCCCATGCTGCTGACACAGCCTGAATACAGACTTTCTGCTCTTACCTAGGTATGAGACCAGGAAGAGGATGTGTGCTTCCTAAGAAAAAGTGACTGGATTTGTTCTGGGCTTCCTGTGGGATTCTGGGAGAAAAATGAAAAGGCTTTGCTGCTGAGGGTAAGCACTGCTTTTTTTTTTTTTTTTTTTTTTTTTTAATGTGTGTTGCTTTTGCATTTCTTTATTTTCAAGAAAGTGGTAGGAAAATTTTCCTCCTTAAGGGAAAAACAAAGCAAAAGCAGAGACTGGTAGTGTTGACTGCTCATCCATGGAGAACAGTGGTTCCATGAAAGGCTAATGTCTGTTTGCACTGGTTCCTACAGCTAATGAAGTATGACTGTGAAGGGGGCTCCTAATGCTAGTGCGAAGCAAGGCTCACAAGCTTCAAATGTTTTCTTGGATGATCTCCAAACCTTCTGCCCTCCTTTGGGCTACAGCTGAGGTTGGAGACCTCAGAGCTGTGGAGACTTCAGTGCAGCTGCTTCCAAGCAAAACCAGAGCCATCACAATGAAAATAAATAAATAAACAAATAGTGCTATTCTGAGCCTCAGACACATTGGAGTGTTTCATTTGCACCACAGCGTGCAGGATGTGTTCCTCCCTGTTTGGGAGCAGTGTCCTGGTTTCCAGTCTATTACTTTCTGGTGAATTCCCTCCTCTGTCTTCCGAGAGGGGAGCCTGCACACCTCTAGTACACTCTCAGCTCACTCTTAAAGGGCTCTGTTGGTTTCCACTATCAGGGCATCATGGTGCAGGACTGATTCACCCCGTACCAGCATGAGCACTCACAGTGTATTTCCATGACATGCAGCTACCCTTCCATACCTCCTGTTAAAAGAAACCTTTTTGCAGGTGTGGTCTTGTTCTGACATCTCCAAAGTCAGCTCTTATGCTCCCTGCACACCTTTTGGCTGTCACCTCTGCCTGCAATGCCGTCCAACACCTCTTGGTTTAAATGAGTGTTTGCCTCATTTATTGCAGGTAACATTCTGCAGCTGGCTGTCCCCTCCTCCTGGCCCTCTCCTTATTTCTTCTTGGAATACTTCAGCTCTCTCCAGGGCTGCAGCCTTGCAGGATCCTCTGCATCACTGTTCTGTGCTCTCAGTTGGTTGCATTTCTTCATGCAGAGCCCTCATGGAGGTTCACCTTCCTTTTCCCTCCTAGATTCAGTCCAGTTTCCCTTCAGTCAAATTCCCATCCCAAATCCTCCCTCTTCGTAGCAGTTCCTGGGTTTGTCTCTTGGTCAGTCAGCGCCTTTCCCCAAATGCCTGTGCATGCATTGCTCATTCTGTCTGAGCCAGGATGGAGCGTGTGAGGTGACAGGAGCTGCCTAGTCTCAGGGATGGACCGGACTTGTGATTTGGATTGCAGCGATCCACAGCTTTGCTTCTCTGGAAATCCTGCTCAGCCCCTGGCTGGACCGCATCCTGAAAGGGGAAGAGTTTCAGGGAATTCGGCCGGTAAGCTCTATAAGACTGCCTTAAGGGAGCACATGTGAAACGGAACATTTCAAAGACTTGGCTAAGTTTGGCGGCAGCAAAGGGTGCATCTGGACAAAACCAAAGGCCTTCCCTGCTTCTCCTTTTGCCAAACTTCAAGTCTGCATGCCAAAAACATGCAGCTTGAAGAGCTCTTCAAAGAAAAGGTCATCAGATTTCTCTGTAACAAAAGCAAGAGAAACCAAAGCATTTCCCCTTACAATGTTCTTGGAAGTAGATGAATCATTTTGGCTGAAATTATATATTTTATAACTCTATTTGCTTAGATACTTCATCATTAGGCAGCTAACCAGCAAGATGAAGTTCAACCCAAACATTTTAGCATGGCCTAGTTAAAACCAGCTGAATAACAGCACTTGGCATAGGAAGAGTGACTGCAGGTCCACAGCGCTGGGAAGGAGCAGACTTACCTGCAATGCCTGTCCCTTGTGTCATTGCTTTCATAGATCTCCTGGAATGGTGATAATGTTTGGTCAGGGTGAAGAAAACTTAAACTTGCATCCTTTTTTGCCTTCATTTTCTTTCTCCTTCAAGTCAGAATAACAGTGCCCCATCTTTGAGCTGTGAGTGGTATGGCCTGGTTTGGAGATGGCATTTGGAGTGCAGATAGTATGATTTCTTAGGCATAGTACAGTTGCTCAGCTTATACCAGTGCTTTCCAGCTACCTCAAAACTACACCTCACGGCAGCTCTGAATGGTGGTGTATCCTGCAACACATTCTGCACCAGCAGGAGGCTGTGTGATCCTCACCCCAGGGCGAGGAGGGGAGGGAAGAGTGGAGCCAGGAATCACAGACCAACGTGAGTTGGGAAGTCCAGATGTGCAAGAGGAAATGGATGAAGATGGGGGCTCTGGGGGCAGGCAGGGCTGGACGAGGCTGTACCACCGCTTGGGGCTCTACAGTATCCTCTCCCATTTTTCTGCAGCGCGATGAAATGGTGCTTTACCAGCTTCTCTTCTGGTGGTCTGTGGTCTGTCAAGCCAGAGAGTCAGCATCCCAAACAGAAGTGATGCTGACAAGGACTGGGAGGAACTCGTACTCCAAGGAGACCAGCACTGGGATGTACAGCTGGGCCATAGCAAATGGCAGAGGGCTGCACTGCAGCACTGGAGGTGTTGCAGAGGACGGCAGAAGCCTTCAGTCCTTGTTTAGCTGCTGAAACACTGTGCACAGAGGTGGGTGCAGATGCTGCATCAGCTCACGGCCCTGTTCCCTCCTCTCTCTCCTGCACCACTGCTGTGCCCTGGCACAGGCCACTGCTGTCACAGAAGACAAGGAAGGCAAAAAGCTGACCCTGCTGTGGTGGTGCTGCAGTGGGTGCAGACAGGGCTGGCAAGCCCTTTGCGAAGGTGCTGTCCTCAGAGGCACTGGTTTTGCCCTGCTGACAGTTTCCCATGAGCATTCTTTTTCCTCTCTGGGAGACTAAATAACCTCCGAGCAAGGAGAATCTGGCAGTCATCCCGGGCCCTGCTGTGTCACTGGAGTGTTTGGGGAGGGGAGAGAATAACCCAAGAGGTGGAGAGCAGGAACTCCTGGTGCAGCTGCAACTTTCACAGCAGTCTCCTTACTCTCCATCTCTGCCATGGGAAGGGCTCTCCACATCTCCTGGGTGCTCAATGAGGAGCAAACCATGCTTTCCTTTCTGCCCATATGCTGAGTCTGTGGCATCTCTCTCCCATATAAGTATTTCTTGCCACTGGTGATATGGATGCTTTTGACAAAGAAATAAAAAAGGAGGGATGTGTCAGGGCCTGGACAAGGAAATAAATATTTAGACTCAGATCCACAGAAGATAATGTGGTGCTTTGCATCTGGCTGCCACCACGATGTCATGAGCAGCCTCCGAGGTCAGGAGAGTTTGTCCATCCTTTGCTTGGGTGGCTTGTGAGTGCTCAGCATGGCTCCAGCCTGGTGGTATCTCCTGCCAGCCTTGGTCACCTACTGGTGTTCCTCGGTTCAAAGCTGATGGAGGTCAGGGATGGGAGTCACTGGCCTCCCCTGGCCTTCTTCCACGCGCTCCATTTGGTGCTGCTTTGTGTGTGTGAGAGCGTGCTCCCCTCTCCCAGCTGTGCGCGCCTGCCTGCCAGCACGCCGCTGATCCAATCTGCAGCTGTGCTGGTTTTCTCCTCTCTTCTAGCTCTGAGAGTCTTGTTCATGGATTAGGGGGAAGGAAGGAGGAGGAAGAAGGGGGAGCGGGGAGAAAATGAAAAATAAATTAATGAACCGACACAGAGAGAGATGCCTAGTAGAAGTGGGTGTTCTGCCCATGGGCAGCATGGTATGGCATCATCCCCACTGTGCCTTCACCACCAGCAAGCAGAAGATGTCACCTCCCTACACCTTCCTGGAAGATGAACTGGGGTCCCTGTTGGAAGTCCTTGTGCTTTGCTGGGGGACTGCTAGCTCCTATGGGCACCAGGTTGATTCCCAGGAAAAACCAAACCACTGTCTTATGGCTTTGCACCCAGTTATGCTGGGGCTGCTGCCAAGCTCTGCGTGTGGTGAGGGGGTCACCCATCCTGCAGGCAGATCCACTGGACCTTCCTCAGTGAGGTACCATCAGCTCTTGCCCATGTACATTCGATAGAGCGCAGTGGTGAGTGCAGAGCTGGGCAGCCCCTCCGGCGGGAGCTGGCTGGCAGCTGCAGAGCTAGGACACGCAGCCTCACCACCTGACGGCCTTCTTCATTGCAGAAGGTGCCCAGGAAGTCTCCAGCTGTGACAATGTGCAGCGGAACCATGAGACATCCCAATGGGGAGAGTCCCACATCTCAGGATGTTTGGAGGTAAGTTCTGCTCTTTGCAGAAGGTTGGGGAGGCTTTCGCGGTGGACTGCCCAGGATCCTGATTCCTGTGGTATCCTACAGACACCATAATTGCCAGAAGGGCTTGTGGGTCAGGAGGTGAACTGAATGACATTTTTGAGAACTGTAGTGGCATCCTTCTCTGTCCAGTGGGGTGCTGAGACTTGTGTGAGTCAGTCTGAAGCTTTCCTCTGCATATCACAGGAGGCTCGAAGGCTTTGCCAAATGATCAGTGTGCCCCACAAAAATCTGTGATGGGTCTTGGCACTGATCACATGGGGTCTTCTGAGGATGAGCAGGACTGTGGGAAAAGTGACGGACCTGCCAAAATGGTATGTGTATACACTGTCTTGCTTCCCTGTGTTTTATGGTTGACGAATTTGAAAAAGACTCCACAGCCATCAAAATATTATCTTCCCCTCCAGAGCCTTTTTTGTAGCAGACAGTTTCTAAAATGGGCCATTTGGATTTCCCATTACTTGGCCCTGTTAATCCTGTATTTTCCCAGGAAACAGCAATGGCCTAAAGGTTGATTGTACTTTACCTGGCATGAATGCAGATCTGTGGATTACAAGGGTTCCCCCCGTGTGCAAATGAGATTAGGCAAGGCCGCAGTGACATGGGTCAAACTGGGACAGAGTAGTGGCTTCCCAGAGGGGATGGGAGGGCTGTAACTTCCTTAGCAGCTGTGATCCTGCAGATATGACGGGGAAGGCACTCAGGGGGTCTGGGCTGGTGTTTAGGCAGCCTGGAGCGGAACCAGGCTGACTTTACAGTTCACAGCTGAGGTGTTCGCTGCAGGCAGCAGAAGGTATTTTCCCAGCCTTTCTGGTGGTCCCTTTTCACAGCTGGAGAAACGCTTTGGATGTGTCTCCCCATGTCAAGCCCACGTGCTCTGTGGGGTGTGGCGGACAGCGGCTTGGACATGGGAGCAGTGAGGCTGCAGCAAACCCCTCTTTGCTTTTCACTGAGGTGCCCAGGGCAGAGGGGGAAAGGCTTCTTGTGCCCTGGTCCCCAGGCTGAGCCCCTGCCCTCATCCCTACCTTGCTCATCTTGCACACCATGGACTTCCCCTGGCTTGCAAAGCCCAGGTGTGATTGTGGCCGACCTCTGATCAGGGACTTTGCCTCCTGATCCAAGTGCATGAGGTAATGTGGTGCCACCCCTCAGCCCAAGGCTATCCCTGCCCCAGTGAGGCTGGCACAAGAAGTGTGCCCCACTCTGGTGCTGGG